GGTGGCTGGGGCTAGATACTGTGCTCAGAGAGAGTCGCCGAAGAGCAACGGCGCTATTAACTTCCATGGTGACGATGACCGCCCTCTCGCATGTTTGTAAGGAGGAAAGTGAGGGAAATGGGAGCGAAGATCATGGAGGAAGATTAGCCTTGTCCGTCTCGTTGTGGGACAGATTCAGCCTTCAGGGGAACTTAGGAAATCAGCCTTGTTTGACACATCCTAGAGACCTTGGCATGACTCGTTTAGAAGGCATTTGACCCTTATTCGTGGAGAAGATAGGCCAAGGTGGCTAACAGAAGCTAACCAAGGCGCTTGTTGGGGAGAGACATGTAGTCAGCGACTAGTGAGTGGGATTATCCATATAAGACAAATCAGGAGGTAGGCGTTGTGTTGTAATGTGCCTTTGTAGTAAACAGTGCCTTGAAAAGAGATTAGCTGGCTTTAATGTTAACAGAGACAGAGACAACTAATATACTGATGCTATTTTGACATGGTTCCTATTCGTCAAGCCGTCAAATATAGTCTCTCATATCAACTGCCCTCTACTACGATCATCAACATATTCGGTCATATTGCATCCAGGGAAGCAAGTATTGTATATCGAGTCTGAAAAATGTACCTCGCTGCTAGCCATTGACCAAATGCAGCCCAGCTTTGCTACACCCTGTTAACTATCCCTTTCGACCAATAGAGTAATCGTCATGGTAGCCGGGCGTAAAAGATCTCTGCCCGTTCTCGTATTCCATCAGCCGATCGATAATCTTGGCCTCCACAGCCTCAACCCCACATTCTTGCGAACAAAACTTTGAATCCTTCCTTTGGCCCTCTTGAGGACATTCTTATTTTGACTGCAATGGTCCGGTACCAATACATACCCCTACCACCAATTGGTGAAAACGGCCAGAGTCCCGCATTCACGCGCGTTTTGACGCTCTATCCTGGCACAGACCAGGATCCACTATACTGTACCCTCGACATTGTTGATATTGAGCACTGTCCATCGCCTCCTGAAGCCTTGTCGTATGTATGGGGCAGCGAACGGGCGCCTGTGCCCCTCTACTGTGGTGATGGCCTACTCGGCATAACCCTGAACCTCGACATCGCGCTTCGCCATCTACGTCTCCCTCATGCTCGTCGCAGACTCTGGGTCGATGCGGTATGCATTAACCAGGATGATCTGAGGGAGCGTGAGCGTCAGGTCGGCTACATGAGGCTTGTGTATAAGCATGCAGTTGCAGTCATCGCATGGCTTGGTCCTGGCATGCCCGAAACAAAAGAAGCCTTCGATTTCGCGAGAAGACTGTCCGAGTTGCAGAAGGATATGAATCAAAACGCGGCAAGTGCGTCCGACGGGAGAACACTCTACTCGATGAAGACTGAGGCCAACAGCATCCTGTTGGAGTCGCTCACTGCAGAGCCACGGGCGACGGATGCACTGGCTCGCCTTTTCGCAGGGCAGTACTTTGAGCGCGTGTGGTGTATACAGGAGGCTGTCGCCTCGCAACGCTGCATTGCGAAATGCGGGCAGTACGAGATGGGTTTCTTTGATTTGATCTCGCTGATGACCTATGTCTGTAACTTCCGCGGGGCTATTATGGATGCTCAGGGCCTGGATTATCCGGATGGTACGGTGTCTTTCTGGAGTACCTTTGTGTCCGCCAGACGGGAAGTACTGGTGTCGAGTAAACAGCAATACGTGGAGGGATCTATCAGCCGCATGTTCACTTTACTTGCAGGCATCCGCAACTTCAAGTGCACCGATCCCCGCGATCGGATCTTTGCTCTCCTGGGGATCTCGGACGAAGGATTGCAGCCCGTTCTGGCACTGACCCAAGTCGAGGGTGCACGTAACTCACGGGCCTTGTCGCTCCTTCAGCGCGGGGCCATATGGCTCTCTGAGAAGGTGAACTCGCTCGGACCGAATATCAACTTCCTCAGGCCTGCTGCCTTGAGACCAAACTATTCCAGGCCTGTCCGGGAAGTGTACCGAGACTTTACGAGGTTCAGCGTGCGCCAGCAGCCACGAAAGCTGGACATTTTATCTCTCGTACAGCATACTACATATCCGCTACAGGACTATTGGCCATCCTGGGTTCCTAAGCTGCATGAGGAACGCTCAGTGTCACTGTTAGCACCTGGTCTGTATCTTGCTGGCATTCCAATGCATGGCCACTATCGGTATTTCGCGGAGCTTCACGATTCTCCCCTCGATGGCAGATCAGTCGAGCCAGATGTGCTCCAACTGGACGGTTATCGTGTTGATCTGGTTGACGCCGTGAGCGACCTTATTCAGTACAAGTACACGGAAAAGCCGCCAATAGAAGCCATATGGTCTCAGCTCTTCAACTTTCCGTTGTTTCCGCGTCCAGGCTTCCAGTACACCGGGACAAGCGAGGCTCTAGATGTTGCTTTCTTGCAAACGATCGGTGCTGCCATGTTGGGGGTGATTGGCATGTTCATCAACCAGCCAGCCTCCTGGGAGAACTCAAGACTCGACGCTTGGGCCGCCTTGACGCGGCAGGTAAAGAGCAACAGTTTGGCGTGGCTGCAGGCACATCCCCCCGCACAGGGGTTATCCTACCCCGATCTAGTAGCAGAGGAACAATCAGCGGATCTCCCTGGCGATGAGAATGCATATACCCATTCGATTTGGCTCTATTCGCGGAAGAGGCGGATGTATCGAACGAGATCAGGTCTTGTCGGACTTGGTCCGCAAATGATGCAGCCAGGGGACCAAGTAGTCGTTCTATTCGGGGGGAGTCTGCCTTTTATCTTACGACCACGGGGAAGAGAGTGGTTACTCATCGGTGATACATATCTTCATCATGATTGGATCTTGCAGGGAAAGCAGGCCGAAATGGTCCGATCCTCATCGGGTGCGTCCAGGGTTGAGACATTCAGAATAGCATAGATCTATATCCAGCCAGCTATTATTGCTTGAATCAGAGCCCGAGCTAAGTATACCATGTAGGCTCCGGGTACTCATGCAGTAGCACATATCTGCCTAGCTCCCGATTCTTGTACGCCACCGGGTCATGCAAGGTGTGCGTCCTGAGATCCCTCCAGAACCTGTCCAGCCCCACCTTCAGCGACGTCGCTCGCGCGCCAGTCACCTCGAATATGCCGGATGTGACTCGAAGTCCGACATCCGTAGTGACCACCTTCACACTTGCGATCCATTCAGCCACCTCGCCTCGTTCCTCGGCTGTCACCTTGGACCGATCGCCTGAATGACGGTCGTACAGCGCAGAAAGTTGATCACCTGCTCTGTCGGCCAGTGCTTCTGCAGCACGCAGGTGCGCAAAGAAGTTCCCGTATCGTTCGAGGATGTAGAACTCATCTGTGGCTGCCTCCTTGTTGTCCCCGCCGTAGGGCCAAGGGCGTGTGGACGTGGTAGTGTACTTGGCGGCGAACTCGAGGGCGCCGATTGCGATGCCGAGGTAGAAGTTGCTGAAGACTAGTTGAATCCTAATATGGTCAGTACAGGCCGTGCAGAAGCAGTCCGTAGCACTTACGTAGGCAGGAATAAAGAGGCAAAGGGAATGGTGAGAACCTCTGCGAGTGGTCTTTTGCTTGCTGTGTCCCATCCCAATGCATCTGTCCAAGATGCACGCACATTTTCGATCTTAACACTCCCAGATTCTGTCAATCGCAGACCAATATTCTTCCAGTTGTGCGAGAATTGAATTCCTGGTTGATTAGTTTCCACAATGGCAAATATATGGTCCTGGGTTCCGTCCAGCACGCCTTCAAGGACCGTAAGGTCAGAAACCACTCCTCCTGTATTGAAGTGCTTGAATCCGTTGAAGACGATCGAGTCACCTTCTGCAGTTATCTTCAAGTCATTATCCCGAGGGTTAACCGCTCCTCCGACGAAAAAGTTGTTGGTGATGATCAGCTCCTGCAGACGGTCGGCTTGTTCGGCCGTCCCGACCACATTGGCGGTCGTCGACCAGAGGAGATGATATCCAAGAAGCATGCCAATGGACCTGAAATACACTTAGCCAGTTTTCGCATGTTGACTATTGATACGCACCCGTCCCCCTTGGCCACTTCCCGGATCGCCTTGTAGCCCACATGCCACGGCTGTTCTCCGCCGCCATACTTCTTCGGCCCGAGAAGCTTCAACAGACCGGAATGCTTCAGTAAGGCAACCTCGGCGCGAGGAGACTTGTTGTCCTGATCTCTCTGGGCTGCATCCTGGGCGAGAACTTCAGCCACTTCACGCGCTCGTGCAAGCCATGCGTCTGCGGAGTCGGGGAGAGCAGCCCATTTCTCCTTGTAGACGTCGTACACTGCGGGGTGTGTGGCTGGGACGGTTGTTTGTGCCATTCTTGGGAGTTCAATCAGATTATTTCTTTTTGGACGCTCTTGAACTTTGATTCCATGGCTAGCTGGCGGGAAAGGGACATGGGCGTATTTATCTCTCAGGCTTGCTGTTCGATTGCGGACAAACCTTCGGTATGGCGTGCTTTTCAGCAGAGGATGGTGCCATGCTGGACTGCTATGTACAATTGTCAAGCTAAGAATCTCATTCGGTCAGGAAGCAATTCGTCAAATGCAGCGGAAATGCCGTTATACCCCCGCATTGTTCACAGGCCCAAGGCCCGTTTTTCAGCCTACGGGACCACATACTATCGATAAAGAACCAACTACCTCAAATTTGGAAGAACCTTATTCACTTGGAAGCCCATCCGATTCAGCTAATAGCCAGCGTGCTTTAACTACAAACAAACCGGTAGCAGATTAGCAATGAAATCGCTGAATTCCTTTCCAACTGCACCAGCGAGTTCTGACCCCTGGAGAGGATCCACTAATTTCCCTTTCTCCCAGACAAACAACAAGCATATCATGAACGGATGTCCCAAGGAAGTTCAAAGAAAAACTGCAAATATGATGGTTGAAATCCTTGTTCCAGTCCACAGAGGACCGTCCGTCTACCTCGCCGTTCTTATCCATGGAACAATCAGTCTCGATAGCAGGAGAAAGTCAAATGTGGACTATGAGCGCGACGACTCGCGTTTCTTATACTTTCGCCATAAAATCTTTGCCCAATCTCCCCTGTTCTGTCGATAAGCTTCCCACAAGGGTCTCAAGCCGTAGTGACATTCGGCATCTGGGTCAACATCATAGAGCAACAGAAAGTCGACGATCTCGTCTTTCCTCTGGAGCATAGCATAGAGCAAAGGGGTTTGGCCCTCTGAATTTTTGCGGTTGACGTCGGCACCGTGGGCGAGAAGCAGCCGGACCATGGCTATCTTGTTGTCGAATATGGCAACATGCAGAAGGAAGGAATTCTGAGCGTTCGGGTTGGCTCCATGTTTCAAAAGCAGACCCAGCAATCGCTCATAGCCTAATTCCACGGCCATTAACAGCGGAGTGGGATCACGACTGTCCCCTAGTTCCACATCTGCTCCTTTTTCTAGTAAGATCTCGGTAATCTTGAAGTGGTTTTTCCTTACTGCTGCTTGAAGCGGAGTACCGGTCCAGGGACCACCTAGTTCTGTAAGCGCACCCTTGTTCAGTAGCATCTTGATAATCTCCGTGAATCCCTTCATCACTGCAATGCAAAGTGCCGTCATATTATCATGTCGCCGGGCGTTAGGATTTGCGCCTTTCTCGAGTAAAAGCCTGACCACAGCTTTCCTATTATTGGTCACAGCGATCACCAACGGCTGCCTAGGAAAGTTCTCGAGATTGACATTTGCGCCCTTTCCGATCAGGAGCTCGACAATAGCATCATGGCCATAACTAGCTGCTATGTATAAAGCAGTCGTTGCAATTCGAGAGCCTTCATAAAGTATGGCATCCGGATCAACGCCTTCGTCCAATAACAATCGCACCATGTCTGTGTAGCCTGAGCGTAACACAATGGTAAGAGGCCATTGAAACCATTTATTCAGTGATTTAATGCCCGCCTTGAGTGAGTTCTTGGTGGTCTGTTGGTTGTTCTTCTGCGCAGCCCATGCCAAGGCTTTTCCACCTCTTCTCTTAACATCGAACTTGTAGAGGACATTGTTGAGACGGATGTAGGCCGTGCGACACGTTCGGACGAAGGCGTTTATATCTGATGCCTTGTCGAGGGCTTTTGTGATCATGACGACCACTTCAGTGGGCAGATCAAGAAGGTTCATCTTGGGCTGCTGCTTGGAGAATAGCAATGAGATGGGTAATGAGAAGTGTAACGATGAGAGACTGGGAATTGCTGTAGCAAGCTTATGTAGCAAGCGCAGCTATGGTGAAGAAGATCGATGTATAGTAGGGTCTTGATGATGCTATCGGCCTTTAGATGTAGATGTAAGCTCTAAGAGGAGTGAGCAATCTCAGGCATGAGACCGTTGCCATGTACTGGGATGATCCTCAGTAAGGAAAGGCCTGGTAAGAAATGAGGAGATTAGAAGGATGGAAGGGACGGGGAGCTTAACGCGCCAAAGGACTGCATCAACACCTAGAAAATATCGATGCAGGAACGTTGAGTGACTGATAAGGAGAGCCGTGGCTTGAGAAATAAATTTCAGGTAGGGATGATGAGAGACACGATGAAGAATGGCTCGCACTTCTCATTTGTATCTTAGCAACTTCTCACATCTAGCTTGATTGCCTAATTAGTGAAAAGCTTCGGCATCATTTCATGCGTGGACTAAGCCGTTGGTTCTTAGCTTCTTCGTCATAGAAATCTTGTCTGGTAGCAAAGGGCCATATTTGCTTACATTTAAAAGTCCAATGGGTATCTTACTGAAGACAGTCCTCCCGTCTGCAACAGTTGAGAACATCTTCCATGAGACGAAGAGTCTCGAGGATGGCTGGACAACAACAAATCAGCGACGATGCAGAGTCTAATAAGGGTGATATAGCAATACCGATGTTCCATGGACTCCCGCATGAAAGATTCAAAATGACCTCCACACTGAGCAATAAAGCGCCATGAATCGACTTCAAGATCGACTACTGTCCATCATTGCAAGTCTTGTTGAATGGCGCTCTAGGGCTTGTGCCGTCCTTGTATCTGTTTCGTGAGTACCCTCTCTTTCATAGGAGTGTCATAGGCTTCCCTTACAGGGTACATTCTGTCAATTTATGAGCTGCGGTTGGACTCTTTCCATATGGGGTGGCGTTATACTACTCTGGCCGCGATAACCTCTGATATGTTCCCATGTTGCCCACCGCTTGCCATGGCAATGTAAGGTCTTTTTAATTCATAGCTTTAGGTCTGACATTGAAAGTCGCCGTCGCTTGCGTCTTCGCCGGGAGAGCTATGGAACCTGTGAGGACAACAGGCATATTCACCGGAGGGATGATGGCTCTTAAGACTGCTTGAGCAAACCTACCGCACAGGGACAGATCGGAATTTCTTCCTTGCGGAATACGGTGCCTTGATCAGAAGAGTTTCTCGCTAACCAAGTTTGATTCCGACTTCTTCGCCAGGGGATGGGAATGTTTGGATACAACAGTCATACCTGACTTTCCGGCTATTATTAACCCATGATAGACTCATAGAGAACAAGCAGACATGAGCATTATCAAAGGTAGCGTAGTTCACTCCCAAGGCTGTTGCTCTCCTCACCTAATCAAGCACAGATAGAGTATAAGGAGCTATATAATTGACACCAGGGGATTTTGATTAATTCAATTGCCACTCAGAAAACGTTATACTGAAACTATCATCATTAATAAAAGCGTTGAGATGTGATTTTCAAAGGAACATTGACGAAGTAATCGTGAGTGAAACGGAGAGTGATATATATTTACCATACCAAGTCAGGCTGGACTCCAGCACACCACTACAAAGATATATATAGATTCATGTCTGTGGTAGGACCACACCATGGCTGCTCTATGACTCCCTTCTGAATGAAGAAAGCCTACCTATGCTTGGCCTCATTTTCATTTCAAGGCGAGACCACCCGCCCTGGGATCAGAGTTTCTACACTACTTAGCATTGATATCTGTGGGATATCCTACCTCTCTAAGGCTGTCCTTCTGTCCCTTTCGGCCAGACAAAAGCAATATGCCTCTTAGAGAATACAGGCTGCGTATGCGACGCAAACGATTAGTTGCCTAGCACAGTTTACCAAAGAAGAAGACAAGATGACGATTAAGATGACATTCTGGTCATTGTTACTGGGTATCATCGACAGGTAACTGATGAATCTTCGTCTAGACACGCGAATAAGTCATGTCGCAAAACCATGTCGCTAAGAAGTAGGACAGAAATTGACGCGCCACCGCAAATGCCAGAATATTATGTTTGGATGCCTACGATATCCGTGGCCCATAAAATCGAGCCCATCCGCTCCGACCCAAGAAGCCGACAGATCTCCTTCAACAACCGAGCCCCCAAGTCACCCATCCACCACCGGTCGCGGAGGTGGTGCAAAACCGCGCAGTAATGGGCGAAGATTATGAGCGCTAGGGGTTGTTCCTCCCGGACAAGATCCAGGTACCGGCTGGGAATGCGGAACATCCAGCGCAGGGCGATCGTCGTCGGATCGCCGCCTTTGGTGAGCATTTCGAGCGAGTTGTCTAGGTTCGCGATGGTGTCGTTGTAGACGGCCGTCTCGTGCGCTGGGTCTTTTTTCGCGCTGACGGCGTTCAGGTTCTTCATGGAGAGGATGGTGAGGGTGTAGGTGCTGGGCAGTTGGTGGTACGGATCTCCTTGGGTGAAAAGGTCTCTGAGCGCGCCGTTTTCGACTTTGTTTAGGGTCTCGGGGCTGGGGAGTAATGCTCTGATGGTGTCGAAGAGGTCGAGGAGCTTCTGCAGGGAAGAAGAGGATGAAGGCGAGGGGTCATGACTCTCCGTTTGAGCGGTGGGTGTCTGGCTGTCGAGCGACGGGAGTACCGACTTGGAGCCCTCTCCGGCCAGCGCAGAGGATGCAAGGTCGCACATAAACAGAATACTTGCAGCGGAGAATGCTGCATTGGGCCCGGACGCTGTCGGGGTTTCTAGGACGTTCAGTAGCTTCTCCGTGGCTTGCGTGTAATGATTCCCGGCCGCCTGCAAGTGACGCTCGCGTTGCGGAGTACCAGCCTCACTGGTAGATGCGAGTTCTAGGGCGGACAGAGCCAACGTGCTATGCCTCAAGGCAGGGTGTTGGGACGTCTCGCGCCGGATAATGGCCTGCCATGGATGGTCCCCGCTTTTGCTGTGCGCGAGGGATTGTTGCGTGGACTTGTACCAGTTATCTAATAGGCACTGATCTTCGGGATTCGGGTCCTCGGACGGTTTGCCAGCCTGAGCCTCCAAGACCTTGCTCTTGTCATCCTGATCGACCTCGGAGATATTGGACTCGGGGGAATTGGATGTGGAGGGGCTGGCGGCAGCAGGAGGATATTGTTGGGCGGGAGGGGAAGGTGAGGAGTACGACGACGAGGACGAGGACGAGTCGTCGGAGGAAGAGGAAGCTTTCGCTTTGGACGGGGTCGCTTTGGAGGCCCGAACACCGGAGTGTGGTCGGCGTTGTTTCGAGGGAGCCGAGTCACCGTAACGACAGGATAGGCGATGACGCCTGCATCCGTCGCACTGAGGGCGAGTCTTTGAACACTAGACAGCAGGAGTGGTAAGTAGCCATGATAGGACCACAGTTGATAGGACCTGAAGACATCAACATACCTCCATCTGTAGCTCACTACATTGAGAGCATTGGAGCGGTGACTTTCGGAGTAGCCTCTGAGCGGGCATGGCAATATGGGTGCCAATGGCTAATGGCCTGAATGAGCCCGGCCTGCCTTTTCAACGGGCACCGCAGCCACCTTAAAGATGATCATGCCTTACAACTAAGAAGAAGAGGTGGAGTATCAAGAGCGAAAGAGTCTGCAGAGTGGAAAGGCAACTACTGGGGGAGAACAGGCCAACAAAAGCATCGCGTGGACCAGGGCCTGCAGTGGCATGAAAATGCAACAATAGTTGATCAGATTGCAAGGATGCAAATCATCTCCTGAAAGTGAAATAGCTTCCATTTCGCGCCTGGGGCAGGCATCAGATTGAGTGGACAAGGACCGCGACGACCAGGCATCTGATTTGGTAGGGGTGATCTCTCAAAGGGACAGGAATAAGGCAAACCCACTATGGAAGGGGTGTGGGTTGACCAAGATAGGAGGGAGCTGCAGTATGCGCATAATGCCAAGGGACCCACCAAAGGCAGTGTTACTTACTTACTACTTAATCAATTAGTAGGGTGAACTTGGCAAGGTGGGAGGTCGCAACGACCAACTTCCTAGCACAGTATATAGGGGGTTGACGCGGTGTATACCTGGCTGTCTCTGAAGTCTAGGTGCGAATTTTTGGGACAAGAGGTCTGAGAAAGTCGGATATGATTGGCTATATGGTGAATGCAGGAAGATACACTACGCCCAATGCGGAGTATAAAGCTCTTGGCTAGAATGAGGGGCGCTGATTGGCCGACAAGCCTTCAGTATTCAGAATCCCTCGCAAGAATACGGAGTAGCTCCGCTTATGATGCTCTTTCAGGGAAAGACAAGACTTTACCTCTGGGATGTCGCCGCCAGCATTGAGAAGAAGTAGTGAAGGAGACTATTGATTTTATGTGTCAGACTGAATGAACACTGTAGGGTCAGATGGATAGCCAAGGAACAGAAGAACTGTACTAGAGACATACGAAGACCTGCCATGAGGGGCTGTGCCCTGCACAGTACATGCATCAATGACCAGTCAGAAACTCCTGTTTCAAATCCAAACTCAATAATGCGAGTGGGGAGGAGGGCGCGAGTCTGGATTCATATGTTCCTTTCTCACATCCTATGATCCTAAACGACTGTCTACTGGAGGGCCAAGTGAAGGAGACGCGTCATAACCTCTGCTGCATGTGGAATCAGATCATCTGTTTGAGTACTGACACCGTCTGTACATACGGAGTTCTCCGTATGAGGAAGTTGGATAGTTATTCTCTCACTTCAAGCCAAGGACGGTGGCTTGACTGATACGAGTTCGGGGAGCCAACTGTCCATCATGTTCTCGGATTAGTCATCGATTTGACTTGGTTAACAATTATCTCCCTGTCTGTCAAATACCAGGACTGTCAGTTTGCCAGTGTAACCAGAAGTATCCAGTGCCACTGTACGACTGCTATCGAATGCTGTGCTTCAGGGTCGTGCCAAAGATGAGGCTCAGCTAATCAACATGATAGTTGTACAATCGCATCTCTTAAGGCTGATCAGTCTTCTACTAAATATCCTAGTGTCATCGACAGGTCGGAGATTTTCTCAACCCACTCTCGCGTGGCCTTGTTTTAGTGTCTCACGGACTGAAAAACGACCGAATTAATTGAGATCGTCTAAGTACCTCTCTAAGACTACTCCATTTATCAGTGCGCATAGAGTCACAAGCTATTTTGGGATGAGTCTTCTGTTCTCAGTAACTACTCCGGAGTATGTGCCATTGTGGCATTCTTCTCAAACTCCTTCTAGCCTATCGTATCCCTTTCTCTTTTTTCAGGCCGTGGCCCAAAACCTTGAAATCCCAGCAGTCGGTTGATTGGCCACGCCTCCTCTGCAGAAGGACATGATTGGTTTTCAGGACCAGCCCGAGTGGAGATCAAAACGACCTGTTGCTAAAAATTGGGCCAAAGGGGACAGACTAGTGGGCACTATCGAACAGGTCAGAACTGTAAGTGTGGTCGAAACCGGACGGGTGGATATTAAAAATTGAGGCCCTAAACCGTTTTCTGATAATGCAGCATGCTTAACTTTCTGCCCCCTGTAATCAATACAGGGATCTTTCCCCTTAATGCCGATTCTCCATTCTGCACATCCATTTTTCTGCAGCGCCTGGATATTAATCCCGTTCATGCAGACGATCCCCAGAGTGTCGGGGTGTCTCTATCGAATGTTCTTGCTACATCGACAATCCGCAGAGACAATAATTCTCCGACAACGCATCGACAATCGCGCATCGATTGAACATCCTACAATCCACCCACTGCAGGAAAGATCCTGCGCAGTAATGGGCCGTTTGGTTCCACGGGCACAGCTCTCAAGCTGTACCTAAAACCCTTAAGGTTGTCGCCTGCCATGTAACGTGGCGTTCCTGGAGGATGGCATCGCTTGTTTCCGAACCGAACTCGATCTAATACTTGTTACGTAGACCTGTCTCGAACCCATTTAATCACCCACGGACCCAGCTGGACGACGGCAACTCTGGCCCCGATTGGCCTACCCGTCGTGATTCTCTCCCGGCTCTTGGGAATCGTTTCGTCCGCAACAGCCGGGCTAAGGCCATATCCAAGCGTTGCCGAATAATATCGAGTCAATTAACGGCACTAACTAGGAACCATATCTACTCCTCCTGGCAATGAATTCTTCTTGCTCGCACCCCAGCCATCATAGCATCCATCCACTCCTTCACTTCGCTTCCACTGTCGTTCATTTCTTGTTTGTACCCAGGTCCACACATTCTACCAGTTATCCAATCTCTCTACGATGATGATGAAGTTTACTCGGGGTATTTGAGCCCTCCCACGGCCCACGTCCAACCGCGGACGATCATCCTTGACAGGGATCGACATTCTTTTTCACAGATCTTCCACCCCCAGCTATCGTTTATTTCCTTTTCCGGATATGTGACAGCAACCATGCTGCTCGACATCAACGCCTCCACCTTGTCCGCCACAGGTGTGCTGTGCATGCTCTTGTGTTTCATTGTCAAGCTCTTTGAGACCTCGCCAGTGCCCAAGGACATCCCATGGGTCCTGAGTAAGAAGGGCTTCCTGGGCCGCGCTGCTGAGCGCTTCCTCGGCGTCAACCCCATCGGCTTCATCCAAGAGGGATATGAACAGGTGGGTTTTCTATTTCCATGCCGTGCGATGGCGCCGGATGTATACAGAAGTGGTGCTCGACTGCTGACCTCCGTTGCTGCAGTACTCCAAGAATCAGGAACCCTTTGTGATGCCTAGTGTCAATGAGGGCGATGAAGTCATTCTTCCCAAAGAGCACACCAACGCCGTTCTCTTCGCCAAGGAATCTGAATATAGCTTCAAAGCTCACATTAGTGACTTCTTCCAACTCAAGTACACCAGCTGGCCCCTTGCTTTCGCTGAGAGATATGAGTTCTTCGTCAAGTTGGTCAGCAAGGACCTGACCGACACCCTGAAATCCAAAGCTGTGGCCGAGTCCCTCGCCGAGGAGGCACGTTCCTGCCTCTCGGATGTCTGGGGCGAGGACACGGACAACTGGGTCGAGGTTCCCCTGTACTCTTTTATGGAAAAAGCCGCGGCTCGGATGGTCAATGTGCTGGCGATCGGGCCAGGCAGGAGCCATGATAGCGGTCTACTCAATGCCATGACCAACTGCTCCAATGCCATTGTCTTTGGGGCCAACGTCATCAAGGCCTTTCCTTCATTCCTTCACCCGTATGTGCAGCGCCTCAGTGTTGATAGCATTTCTTCTAACTGCAAACAGCATTATCGGTCCGATTGTAGGACTCGTTAACCGCTGGCAAGAGCGAGTGTTCCACGCGCGTATGAAGCCTATCATCGAGGCCAAGATCAAAGAGCAGAAAGAGGCCTATAACTCGGTGTCCCTGCAAGAAAGACTCAGGACAAACGTACGTCCCTTTAGAACTGACGTCATTTTTTGATGTGTCTGACATCGTCTAGGGGAGCCTTCTCGACTTGCTCATCCAAGCTGGCCTGCGCAGCAAGTGGCCTGTGGAACTTGAGACCATGTGGCTGGCCTACCGAATCTTCATGATCAACTTCCCCGGTGTACATACAAGCGGTATCTCCGCCACGAGCGCCCTTCTCGACATCCTCAGCTATCCCACCGAAGAAGGGTTCATGGATATGCTGCAAGCGGAAATCGAGCAGATTGCGGCCACCTCGGACGGCTCATGGCCTGCCGCTGACCTGGAACGGGCCAGTTTGTTAGAAAGCGCCATTAAAGAGTCTCTGCGCTTCAACGGCGTCAACGCCGTCTCGCCTACAAGAAAGGTATTCTGAATTCATCGTCACGCTATGAGACACGCTAATGCGATCCCCCAGGTCGTCGCACCAGAAGGCGCCATCCTCCCCAATGGCGTTTATCTCCCCTACGGAACCAAAATCGGTATCCCCCAGTACGCCGTCCACCGCGACAGCGACCTTTACCCTAATGCCAACGAATACAACCCCTACCGCTTCTACAAGGAAAACGCCACGCCAGAGGAACGACGGCAGAACCTCATGACCAACACCAGCGACACATACCTGGTCTTTGGCCACGGCCGCCGACAATGTCCCGGCCGCTGGCTCTTCGCACACATCTTCAAACTCCTCATCGCCGAAATGCTCCTCAAATACGAAATCAAGCCCTTCGCTACCCGTCCCAAAATCCACAGTAAGTGGCTTGCTAGTATTCACTTCCGAATGCGAAGCTAACGTGAGCAGGATGGGGACGCTTCCAGTTACCGCCTCTGTCAGTAAAACTGACGGTTCGACGCAAAAAGAACACGGTCGCTATTTACAACTAATTCCTGTCATAATATTTCGCCGGCCCCCTTCGTTTTTGGCCAGCCTCCGTTCACTGTATATATTTCGTTTTTCTGTGTTGTATAGCGACGTCGTTATCGATAGATGGATACCAGCCAATTGCAATTGGACACCAAGATTTCCTTTTTGTCATGTCGGTCATGCCTTTCTTTGGATTCGGGGCGGATTCAGTCGATTATCTGTACTTTGAGTATGTATGGCAAAAGCTTTGTATATAATCTATGCACAGTTGCTGTTGCTGTTTCCTTTATTTATTACTGGGCAATAGTCGAAATATGGAGGCTTTCTGATACTCTTGAACAAACGTCGCACTCCGGCATCTATAAACAAGAATCTAGTAAAGTCACAGATAAAAGAGATACCAATGAGTCATCCGGGCGCAGAATGCAAGTGTCTGGAGTTCAAGAACCAGGTCCAAAATCCCGCTCATTTTTGGGTCTTAATGACCGTATCACCTTAAAACTGAACGACGCCCGGTTAGGAAACCAACCAAGTTGCGAAACCTGGATGTCTGCCTTGGGGAAGTGTCTTTCGAGCTGCTGGGCATGCTCGTATGCGCGCCCTTCACTCAGTTCGACAGAATCACCAACATGCTCATCGAGATCCAGGAAGCATCCAACTCGAAGCGACCCAAGTGTTGGAAACAAAGGCGCTTTATAATTCTGAAGTTCTAGTACATGGAACCCCCCACCGAGGAAACAGGACTCGAGCCGCGGACAGCATTTTGCCAACGCTGCGAGGGAAGCTGATGTGACTTTACTAGGAAAGGGGTCCAGGGACAGTGTGTCCAGATCCGGTAGGCCACTAACCAGACGGTGGAAGTCATCATCACCAAACTCAGCGGTTCCCAGGCGAGGCTTGCGTAATCCTCGTAGTCTTAAACTTATCAGATTGCTGAGTCTTCTCAGAGAGACGAGGTCTTCCGGTACAATGGTCATGTCACCATTGAAAGAGATCTCTAGGGTTCGCAGTTCCGTCAGTTCTGAAAGAGGTCGTATTCTGACTTCCGTTTCTGGTGTATCCCAGTCCTCTGTTGGTCTCAGTGTCACGCTGAGCTGCATGACAGAGCCAAAAATCTTAGCCATCGACGGGACTGCGTCTTGGTTGATCTCAATGTCCAATTCCTTCAACTGTGGAAAAGGCGATTCAACTGACAATGCATCCCCTAACAACTCAGGGGTAATTTGTTCCAGACTCAACTGCTCGAGTGTTGAAGACGTGGCCAGAAATTCAATGACCTTGGAGTCTGTCATGTTGTGATGATCCATGGTGATGTGCAGGCTCTCTAAATAGGGGAGACCACTTAAAAATGTAAGCAAATCGGTCGGCGTGATGCAAGGACCGCAGCGCCAGAGCCTGACCGTCCTCAGCTTAGGACATTGGTTCTGCACGTCAAGAAAGAAGTCGGCACTAATGCTCCCCTCCAAATCCAGCAGTTGAAGACCAGGATTGATGAAGTGCGTTAGATACCGGCAGTCGGCGATAGTCTCGTGATCATCCTCCAGCGTGACCGAGAGCTCTTTTACATTATGGAACACAAGATCTTTGAACTCCTCGTAAACGTCTTTGGGGGATCCGGCCAGGTCAAGTTCCTGGATCAGGGGAGTGTACACCCTACGCCGATGCTTCGGCACTTTGGCAAGATAGATGTCTCTCTGCGCTTGCCAGAGGCGTGGGATGCCGAGATTGAAAAACTGTCGGTTGACTCGGATCACAGTCGAGAGCTGTGATAAATACATCTCGTCCAATATCGTCATCAAAATTTCTGGTGGAAGTTGATCCAAACTGCGTGCCATTTTGGCGCGGGATCTGCGAAGCGGGCAGTTTCGAGCTGTCCAGTATAGTCTGAGAAGCAGGTAGGACCATGCTGGAGATCAGAATCCTGAGAATCAGATTCTATATAGGATTAATTCCGCTCACTATCAGTTGTATTCTCAATTGACACGTTCAGCGCGTCAGTCACGTGGTTATCTGTTCGTGTTTGGAGTAGATAGACATCTTTGAATTGGCGTATCAGAATCCAGTTCCTGACTAGCTGGAGTTGACGTTTCCTAGCTCCGTGCCTGGACAGTGTGATATCGGCACCTCGTCCTAGTTAAAGCACAACACTATCGGAATGCGTTCCCCAATGATTTGACAGATTGATATTTCACAAGAATTCCAATTACCCTGAGGGAAACATTCGACCTTGAACGGAACAATATGATCAGTGAGATATGATCAGGAGGTAAATTTTGGATGAGTTGATACTGTGAATTCTACCAGCAAATTGTATGGCGACTGTATCTGTTTCCCATCCTTAGCGGAGTGCGTAGATGCGAGTCTTACATGACTGTCACCTGCCTGATTGGGTTACTGTAACGCCTAGATCAAATGAGACAACATTAGCGCAGTGTGCATTATTCTTTGTCAAAGATGTCCCTCTTATTTGCTTGTCAAGTATCAGGGTCTCAGATGATCAGACCGCTATTCTATATTGCAGAGCGTCTCTGCATGGGGACGTCATCTAAGATGACTTCCTGCGTCTTGTGACACTTGTTAAGCTGCAACTACTCAATCGCCCAATGTATGTTCACCACAAAGTGGCGCAACTGAATGCTAGGAAATACAGCGGTGTAACGTCACCATTTAAGCAGAAGACTGATTAATTATTGACTATCCCATTTTGTCTCTTTCATCAAAGAGCAAGGACTTCATAACAATACTGAAAGCATGTGGTTTAGAGTTCTTTCTACTCCATCTGCTCGATGCTTTTGTTGAATATTCAACTTTACGACACACAACACCTCAATCATGGCGGCGGAAGCAGAAACCCCTAGGCTGGAAAAGGAGTTGCAAAGCTGTTTCCTTTGATGCATGTGTATATTAATCTGTGCAGATACCTGCGGTCTTCCCGTCGGCACCCAGAGCTACTCCATATTGGACTATGTACAATGCCTCGATCGAAATATATGTCTGTACTTCAGAGGCCTATTCGTTTTACAGAGCAATGGTAGTGGTCATATTCGTCTAAGACACCCAAATGACTACGCCAATTCCCAGTTTATAGCGACTAGCGGCTCGAACAGCACAGGCAAAACAGGGCCCCCCTGCTCTACAAACAATGGCATTTCTTCCTCGTTCTGCACACCAGGCGCGAGCCATCAGTTCGCATCCACGTCCCGTGGCGTTGATGATTATGACGCTATCCGGGTCGATCGTATCTACCGATTGCTCTTTCAGTCGCTCGACCGTCCAGATATTGTTCTGATACTGGGATACTTCTCGCAAGTGTAATTCATGATTCCCTCGGGGACCAAATCGGCAGGCGGGCAGACTGACAAAAATGGGATTCGTATACAGAGTGTAAGCCACCGTTCGTTCACTGCCATCCATCTGGAAAACAATGCGGGCTTGGTAGTCGGTCTCACGGTCCATTCTCTCTTCTCTCATCTCCACCCCGAGAGATAGTGCTGGGACACTCTTCGGTGACGGCAAGGCTTGGAGCTCAATGGCTTTCATTTCACAGACGCTGGCCTGTTGGACTGGTTCCTCTGGTAACACCCACTGATTCCTGTCCGTCATGGCGGCAAGATATGGCTCAATCTCCTCGCCGAGCTTCATGCATCGAGCTTCGTATTCGACATTGCCACCCTGCAGCAACACCGCGCTGTCATCCCATTCAGAGTTGGTCGTAAAGGGCGCTAAGCGTCGAGCGTGAACACGGATATGCCGGGGCTTACTGGCGTCCAGAGAGGAAATGAACCGTACTGGTGGGCACGGGCCAAGCCACCCATTCAACGATCTAACTCCTGGTAAGCATCCCAGAATGCTTCCCAGCGGGGTCCGAACTCGCCAGTAGGAAGCCTGCGGTAGCGAGACTCCGCAGTCGTAGTACGGGGCCAGTCCAATTGTGTGGCGGATGGATCGACTGCAGATAATCAAGGCGCTCATGATCTTGAACGCGAACCATTTCCCGGGGAGCATCATCCCATACATCCAGTCATGCAGGTGCGACGGGATGGTCTGTCCGCCAACAAGATTTCCGTAGACGGTTTCCGCATAGTTGCGAACTTCCTCCAGATACGGCCACCGCATCCGTTCAGCGAACAGGACGAGCCCTTCGGTCTGCTGGGCATGAACCCGCGAATCCATTGCAACCGTTCTACCAGTCAAGTCCCAGTCCTCATCCAGAAAAGCGACATGGAGCCTGCGCGCCCGTTCTTTGTTCTTCTCTTGCTCGACAGCGTTCATGTCGGCCTCAATCTTTGCATTGGCGTCCTCGAGACCTTGGCGCATTGTGTCCGTGACGTTCCGTCCTGCGAGCTCGATGGCACGTTGTAACGCCTCCTTTGCCCTTTTCCCCCGTCCGAGCCGCAGATGCGCTAGTCCTAGGCGAGCCCACGCTTTTGCATATGTCGGATCGAGCTTCATGGCGATGAGCGCATCGTCTAAGGCTTCCCGGTTCTTTCCCAAGTCATACAGGGCTCCGGAGCGGTTGTTACGGTAAACGACATTACCGGGATCGGCCTTGACAGCTTCGGTGTACAGCTCGACGGCCCGCTGATGCAGTTTCTTCCTTGTGGCCTCATTCCCTTGTCTCTTGAAGTCCTCGGCCTTGGACTTTTGGAGAGAAGAGACAGTCTTTGGGATACTCGAGGTATCGACGCTCGTGTCCACTAGCCGAATCTGCACATTCTGGAACCAACGATCCGCAATAATGAGGGAAGCCAGGACCTTGGTCGTGAATCCGCGGACTTGTCCCTCTGCATCGCATGACAGACGGCGTGCCAGTTCATTGGTGATGATCATCTGTCGGAGAAAGTTCCAAAGCCCAATACTTCGGTCTGTGGGAGCCCTCCATTCTTCTGCCACGCTTGCTTTGGTGGTGAAATCGGCGATGACATTCTGATTGTTCAGGAGGCTACACAGGTCGGCAACAACAAATGACGTGGGTACAATGCCTTTTGTCGCAGCAAGTGCCAGCTCGCCCGTGAATTCCTCAAGGTCTGCCATGTCGTGCCAGGAGTTGGAGTTACTTAAACCGACTTGGCTGGTATCCTGATACAACTCATCCAGACGACGCAGGATCTTGCTGCCGTCAGGGAGGGCTGGCAAGTCGTTGTATATAACAAGAACGTCCATATCTCGCTGTTTACCGAAGAGCACCTCGTAATCCCAGCATTCCAGACCAAAGCCGTCACAAGTGACCGTGCCGTAATAAGCACTCTGATACTCGGGATCGCTTTCGATGTCGAAGAAGACGTAATCTTCTTCCGTGGACATGGCGAATTTGGATCTCATATGCTGCATGTGAATGAATTTCTTTTTGTGATATAGTTCTACACGCTTTGCTCAGCATATAGTCCAGTTGTACCTGGAACAAAAAAGTCTGCTTACCGAAAGATGGATGCGGCGTCCCAAGAACCGTCATCTTATATGCCCAGCAGGAGTCTTCCGGATCCCAGGTTTCCACTGGAGGATAGCCTTCCCAACTGAGATGCGTAAATGCCCGCCCCAAGGCGTCATCTGGTTTTCGTAGACTGACACGGAGTGCACCCAGGTTCTTCATTGTCTCGAATAGCACGGCCCCGTGTAGTCTCTTGGACAGCTGGACTATTTCTTTCTCCCTTGGCCTGGGAATCTCTCGGACTTCTTCACCATCGCCTTGTCCAACAGCCCAGCCACTGTCATCCTCTTCGTCGCTCTCACCCCAAATAACAGTGTCATCATCGAGTGATACTATATCCGATATGTCTGTCACGGTAGCACCAAGCGTCTCCAAACGAACACTGGCACTCTCAGAGATATCCTCGTACTCCCCGGCAGTTGCTTCTTGCAGAAGACGCAAGTCCTGGATCTGGTCACTGCGCCCGATATCCTGTCGCATCGCCTCCGCCGCTTTGATCTTGACGTCCGGGAAGAGGGTTTCGAGGTTCTCATTGAACCCCTTGATCTCAGCCACCATGGACTGGAACTTCCTCTTGTCATGGACTGCCCACAAGGTCTTGCGAGCCAAGGTCGTCGAGCGCTGTCGCTCCTTAGCCGATCGTAGCAGAGTGTTATACTCGCGCTTGAAAACGGACCGCAGGAGATCGACTTGCTTGTCTTTGTGCGACTCACTCGGACGCAGACCGTACTTGTTTTGCAGGGCCTCCGAGTTCTCAAAGATATTCTGTATACAACCCAAGACTCGCATCACCATAGTCTGGATCTCTGTGGATCGTAAGCGGGGATCAGGAATTATCTGGCTGTTGTTGAGCCCCGCGAGGCCCACTGCCTCTCCCCACGCCAGAAGCCGGACGCGTTCGACCTCGAGCTTGATGCGGAGGACCTCGTAGTCCCAGCCGTATTTCCTGCTCGTGTCGACAATTTCAAATATCTGCACGCATGTTTTCCATGCTGTGGCGACGCTGATTACCAGGCCCGCCACGTCCGCCATCGTCAGTTGTTGATAAATGACGAGTAGGGGGAACCCAGTTTGAGCCTGGCACGAGACAACTATCATATAATCCCCGCTGGAAATTCTCTCTATCTTATCCCTCGTGTCTATTCGCATTGGCCTCACGCGAATTACAAGGCTGAATCGCTACCCCAACGAGGCTGGAGAGCCCACACAGAGGGACGCCCTCATTGGCCAAATACGAAGTTATACTTTCGGTCTGAGGAAGCGATTGGGAGGTGATATTTGTGAAGTAACCTTCTTTCAAGTAGTACATGGCTGTATCTTCCGTGTCCGTTCTCATGTCCTTTGGTTGGCCTGCTGGCTGATTGGCAGAGCGCTGGCCATGGCTGGAAGTTGAGCTGGTAAAAAGGGCAAAAAACGTAACAAATAAGCATACACAGCCATGTTCTACTTTGAAGATAGTTTGCCGTTTTTTCCTCTTCAGACCAGTATACCCATGGAATAAATGCGTACTCTGAGAAAGGTGATTGTTGCCACCGTCCTGGCATGTCTGTCAAAAGAACCGAGGCAATCGACAGCGGAATCCCGTACAAGGTTGTTGACCACCTGGTCTGATGCAGTCAAGTCTATCAGGGCGCAAGAGTCCAAGCCGTCCAAATTCTGCCATAAGCAAGATAACAGTCTTTGGGGCGAAGTGAGTAGCTTAAGAGTCTAACAGGCAATCGTAATGGTGTCTCAGCCCATCAAATGACCCAGCTGTGACTCTGTAGCTATAGAGCAACTATTAGATAATGTGCCATCTTTCCAAGTGGCAGTGCGTTAGATAAGGAAGAGAGAAAGTGCGCCATGACTATGGGGATGTGCCCTGCTTAAATGGAGTAGGCGTGCAAGGGAGCAGGAGAACTAGCAAAGCAGTGAGGTTTTGGCACCCCGCTAACCGTATCATGGTATACTTAACCGGATAATAGTATGAAGAAGGTATATGCAGGGACTACGGAGTAAAGTAACCTTGTAGCCTGCTGTTAGGTTGACCTGATAGAAAAACCATGCGCTCCATAAATCTGCCCCTAGTAGGACGACCTGCCCTGCTTTCACCGAATCTGCGGGGCAGGGTGCTATTCTCTACTACGCCCTGTGAATAATTGATTAGCTATTCCCAAGGAGGCCATGTGTTGTCAGCCAATCAATGAGTTGTATATTACCTTAGTGCTTACATCGGGATTGTCGAAATCCGGCCCAATTCCGACCGACGGCTATATTTCACTTGCAAACCTCGTGTTCAGTCTCACGTATGATTCACTACTTATCATTCAAGCCATTGAGTTCCGATTTTGCATCAGGTCTGACCGGACTTCAGGCTAACTGGAGTTTCAAAAGCCCGTATCAGGCTTCATATCTTCTCATGGATGACGCAACAAGCTATGTTCCGGCACCGTATGGCCGAGCTTGTGTTAACTGTGCTCGAGCCAAATGCAAATGTATCGTTCCAGAGGCAGGGGGTATTTGCGCAAGGTAAGTTGTTGAATCTGGCTTGGTGAGCGTAAAGTAAAGAGTCATTCTAGATGTCATCGATTGAATAAAGAATGTCGCCCATCAGCCAGAGTCCGGAGGACTAGACGAAACACATCCATAGTATCAAAGACCGTGCAGCTGGAGCAGAAACTGGATGGCATACTCTCCCTCCTCAAAGATAATCGCTCGAAAATGATGTCTGAATGCCCTAGCCCGGCAATACTCGACCAGGATCGAGTTTCTTCAGGACGTCCAGATGCCATGCCCCCTCTCCTCACTCCAGAGGGCGGTACCAGTGACTCTCCTGGTAGGTCTGTTACTACTTCGGCAGGGCGAGCAGAGGATTATTCCCCAGATACAACCGGCTCTCTGGCAGAGGAAGCTCTGAATTCATTTCGCAATGGTCCTCTGGAGTATCTACCATTTGTTCATATTCCAGCCAGCGTTAGTGCCGCAGAACTGAAGACGGAGTCTCCATTTTTATGGTATTGCATCTGTGCAGTGCAGTGCAAGCATACTGCGCGCCAGACTGCTCTCAGTGTCGGCATCAGAGAAAAGGCAGCCCAGGCGCTACTCGTGGACTGTCGAAAGAATCTGGATATTCTACAAGGCCTATTGGTCTATCTAGGCTGGTATTTGAATCCCGATCGACGTGATTTCCCGCCACTGACTACTCAAGGATTACTCTTCGCTGCCAACCGCAAAAATATTCTCTTTGTACATATATCCAACTGGCAATATCTGTGATCTTCGACTTGGGCCTTCACAAGTCTCCGCCTGATGAATCACATCCTGCCGATTGCGATTGGAACGGTCCTATCTCCCACCTCATATTTCCTGCTTCCAAAACGCGGAGCATGAATGAGCGACGAGCCGTACTCAGTTGCTTCCTCCTAAGTTCATCGTATGTAAACCTGATCCTGGAATTTCCTGCTAAGTACTGAATCCGTCACCCATGCGCGGCAGTATATCGCAATTCTTGTGCAAGCCGGATCCAATGCGTTGGACAGCACACATGAAAGAATGTCTGGAGGTCTTGACTGAGAGAAAGGAGACCCCCAACGACGCAGTCCTTGTACAGCTCGTTCGGATCCAACTTGTCGTCGACAAGGTGATCAGACGGTCTTGGGACGAAAGCGGAACCACCGCGGAGGGTTCAGACAGCCCCCGGTTGCCGACATCCTTTTTCATTCGAACGATGCAACAACAGCTGCAAAGTATCACAAGTCGGATTCCACCTGAACTAGCGGACAACAGTGAGTAGAGAATGATGAATATCGCACAGACATCCAACACTGACATGTGATGCAGAGGTTGTGCTTTTCCATTTATACCAGGCCGAAATGGCCGTATACGAGACTGCGATGTCGAGATCAGCCATACAAGTCGAAGACGTGGACGTCACTCGTATCAGCCATCTATATGCATGTCTAGCAGCAACCAAGAATTGGTTCGATCTCCTTCTCACCATCAGTCCTGAAGAATATGTCTCCCTGCCGGTAACGATCATCTTCCAGGTCTCACACTGCTTGAGTACCTTGTTCTATCTTTCTACATTCGACTACCCGGGCTGGGATCGAGAAGCTGTTACCCGCACAGCTGACCTCCAGTCCATCTCGCAGCAGGTAATTGACCGACTGGATTCAGTGGCCGAAGCGGCAGGCATTCAGAACCAAGGAACGGATGGGGATTTGTGGAGCAAGTCGGCCAGGATCCTTCCTAAATTACAGGCTAGTTGGGCGTCTAAACTCCCGAACGCTGTGGTACCAGCTGTGAATGCAGGAGGACAATCGTCAGCTCCTTCTAGTATTGATGAGGGCTTTCTCGAGGCATACCTCAATTGGCCGGATGTATGGTTGATGGAATCACTGATGCTGGGGAGTCAGAACGGAGTGTGATGGTTTAGCTTAACGTTTGATTGTATTACGAGTCAAATCTGGATTGCTTGAATGAATAATTTCTTATCGATTTGGTCTCTGACCTATGTTGATTGTCGCAAATCCCGTCTCAGCGGATTCACCCCTGAACGGGGTCGGAGTCGGGATTGGCCCAACTCCGTCCGATACTGTGGTATAACAATGAACCTTTCTCCCCAGGCAGAGGGAGCTGCTTCATGCCTATTCTCAAGTCATCAAAAACTATCACCAGGATTCTTTCTAAAGATGCGCACAGAACTGGAAGGGGAAGACCGGTCTGCCGACAGAAAAAAGGAGCCGCCTGTCGCACAGAACACTCATAATACCCCATCTATGGCGTCAGAGCTATCGGGCGCTAAACAAGAGCCCGAGATTCTTTCAGCAGACGCTGGAGAAAAACTGGCCAATGCTATCGCCAACGCTACTGAAGAACATCCGGAAAAGTGGATTAAAGGCGTTCCCCTGCTCATGGTAACCTCGGGGATTACTCTGGTCATATTCCTGATGTTACTGGACATGTCAATCCTGTCTACAGTCTGTCGTTCCAGTTTGAAATTGCTGAACATTTCTCTAATCTCGAATTAATAGGCCGTACCGCAGATTACGAATCAATTCCACTCTCTCGAGGACATAGCCTGGTACGGCAGTGCTTACACGTTGGCGAGGTAGGTCAAATATCTTATGTTGACGAATGAAACTCCAGATCTCTGATCCAAACTGCTCTGACAGCTCGGCCCTTCAACCTCTTACAGGGAAGTTTTACACCTATTTCACCTCCAAGGTAGTTCACCTCCTACTCGCTTCGTAATGGACGACTGATTTCCGTGAAGTGGGTATTTCTGGGCTTCTTCGCAGTCTTCGAGCTAGGCTCCTTGATATGCGGCGTCGCTACCTCGTCGAAAATGCTCATTGTCGGCCGGGCTATTGCCGGAATGGGATCTTCGGGAATGTCCAACGGCGCTCTGACGATTGTTGCTGGGGCTGTCCCGATGCATAGAAGGCCATGTATGAGTTCTTTCAGGAGAAGTTGGTCAATGGAAGCTGACATTTTGAGAAGTTATTGTTGGCATCATGATGGGACGTATGTACAGCCTTGTCATAACACAGGAAACACAAACTGAATCAATTTTCGCAGTGTCACAGATTGGACTGATTTTAGGCCCTCTGGTCGGTGGTGCGTTGACCACGTATACGACATGGCGCTGGTGTAAGATGACCGGGTCCATGCTTGATACAACTGGGTCTAATGCTTCATATCAACAGGCTTCTACATCAATTTACCCATTGGAGCTCTAGTTGCTGCCCTCTTGGTCTTCACCCGCATTCCCGAGCAACGAGAAAAGGGTCGAGCGATTGAAGTTCTGCCGACCTTTTTCAAGACGTTCGATATCCTGGGGTTTGTGCTATTTGCTCCCGCTGCAATCCAACTCCTGCTGGCCCTTCAGTACGGAGGTAGTCAATATGCATGGGACAGCGCCACAGTCATCGGCCTGTTCTGCGGTGCAGGCGCAATGTTCATCATCTTTTTGGGATGGGAGCACCATATGGGGAAGGATGCCATGATTCCATTACACATGGTTCGCAACCGGATTTTCTCCTGCAGCTGTGTGGCTATCATGGCTTTGTTCGGAATGACAATCACTGTGTCGTACTATCTGCCGATATACTTTCAGGCAGTGAGAGACAAGACGGCGCTGGTTAGCGGTGTTGATTTGTTGCCGAGTGTGCTGTGCCAGATTGTCATGGCTGTGGTCTCGGGGGCTCTCAGTAAGTCGGCCATTTATTGTTTGTCGTCATTCTGCTAATATTCTCTTGACATAGTTGGAAGAATAGGCTACTATCTACCATTTGCGGTTCTCGCCGGAATACTCAACGCTGTCGGGTGTGGTCTTCTGTCGACCTTATCACCCACCACTCCTACACGCGAATGGGCTGGCTATCAAGCTCTGACAGGATTTGGTCGAGGAGCAGGAATGCAGACCGTAGGTCCAATAATTCTGCTGATCATAATGTTGACGTGTATCTGATGACGCCACAGCCCATGATAGCCGTTCAGAACTCCGTCCTGCCTGATGAGATGTCAACTGCCATGGCCATCCTAACCTTCAGCCAGACCATTGGCGCTGCCATCTTCCTGGCGGTCGCAGAAGTCCTCTTCTCTCACGGTTTGAGAAGTACCATTCCGCAGTACGCCCCTAACGTTGACACCGAGACGGTGATTGCAGCTGGTGCGACTGGTTTCCGAAGCATTGTGTCTGAGGAGAGCCTCCCCGGAGTTCTGCTCGCTTATTCAAAGAGCATTGGGCATATTTTCTACCTGGTTGCTGCGCTGAGTGTGCTGCAGTTCTTCTTTGCATGGGGAATGGGCTGGAAGAACGTTGGCAAGCCTAAAGAGAACAAGCTGAAAAGGGAAGAGGAAGGGAAGATGAATGATTGAAGTTGGACATCGGCGTGATGTGAAAATAGAGAAATTCCACTCATCCTATGAAGATTAGCTTTCAGATGTAGTATAGAGGTTTATGTCATTGTGACGTCCAATCCATTCTTTTCTGCATATATTTTACCACAATAGTCAGCCTAATTCGTTCTAATAAATAAAAGATTAATGAAGCCTTCAGGGATCGATGGTGACCATGTAACTAATGGAAGCCAGCTGTATGTGACTCTAATCTGTTCAAGGACCAGGTTCTTCATGAGGCAGAAGCCAATCTCCTAGTCGACTTGCCAACACTATGGGGTATTTTGTGAAGATCCTATCCTAAACTGTCCTCCATCTCAGCTTCATGCACTAGCCAATGCGACCCTGCAATAGGGGTGATCGGCCACAACGGGTCGATCACAGACAGAAGGTCCAGCTTTTTGCCCCATTTCCCCAGTTAGGCAATTCCTTTTGGTCTGCGGGTGTGATCATGGGTTGGCGGAGGGTAGTATTGCAGAATGTTTCATCGGGTTACTTTGCCGGTGAGTTTGCCGGTGGTACAGTTTCAGGGTGATTTAGCTTATGCGCTGAAACGCCGGATACTAGGTCCAGAAGCAACATAAAGCTTCGCCTCTCCCGGCAGGGTCCATCTCGATTTCAATAACAATCAACTGCATTATCTTCTCTTGAGAACAGCAATCTTCAAAGATGCGATATCTTGCAACTGCTGCCGTTTTGGCTGGCGCAGGCCTGGCCTCGGCCTATAGTGTCCCAGCCAACCTACAACAAATTTACAACAAACACAAGGTAACATCTTCTCTCCTTCTCTATTGCAGTCTGCTAACATTCTAAGACCGGAACATGCCAGAACAAGCTGCAAGACGGTTTTTCCGATGGCATCAGCGGCCCCGGCACCTTCGCCTACTGCGGCGACATCAAGGGGGCGATCTTCCTTCACAGCTCCGCCAACGGCGGCCAGTATGATAACATGGACATCGACTGCGATGGAGCGAACAACAGTGCCGGCGACTGTGCGAATGATCCCTCCGGCCAGAGCATGACGGCGTTCATGGATACTGTGCAGCAATACGGCATCTCGGATCTGGACGCCAACATCCACCCGTACGTGGTGTTTGGTAACTCGGGCAGCTCGCCGACCTTTGATCCTCAGCAATATGGAATGGAGCCGCTGAGCGTGATGGCTGTGGTGTGCAATAATCAGCTGGTACGTTTGCTATCAGCTTGTTGACATGAGACGAATGAAACTGACTGTTTAGTTCTACGGTGTCTGGGGTGACACCAACGGTGGTGTCGCTACTGGGGAGGCTTCCATCTCGCTGGCCAAACTGTGCTTTCCCAATGATGGTATCACCGGTGACAATGGGCATGGCGAGGACGATGTGCTCTACATTGGCTTTATGGGGAAGGATGCTGTCCCCGGTGCTAGTGCTGCCTGGACTGCTCGCGACACTTCGACTTTTGAGGAGAGTATCAAGGGTCTCGGTGATCGCCTTGTTGCTAAGCTTAGCGCTTAAGAAGGCCTTGTTGGGATATAGTGTAGCTAGTCGATTTGATACATGCGTGTCCATAGTCGTACATCGTGTTTAGAGTCTGTTACCACAATTGACTCCGGGTCGGAGCAGTTTGAACCCCAGCTTCTCCATCCTCTGCGAATCAAGCATGCCATGATGGTCATAAATCACTTTTGGAGACTCCATCTCCCCCGCAATCTTCTCCCAGTCTAGCCGACCCTCTTTAAACTCGTCCCAAGCGGTGTGCAGGACGACTGCACCACAGCCGGAGCAGGCCGCGTGCAGGTCCTCCACGACCGTGACGGCATCCAAATGCCCACTCATGAGGCCTAGGGCTCTCTCAATCTGCTCCTTTGGCACATGCTGATCGCAGATGTTCACCTTGACGCCAGAACATGTCAGTTCCCGCACCAGTCGCGTCGCGCTCATATTCCCGATATCGATCGTGTTCCACTTGCTCGCGAATCCAAGGATGGCGACATCCCTCCTCTCCTCTGCCCGGGGTAGACCATCGCTGATGCGTCGTGCAAGGCGCTGTACCTGATATGCCTCCATCCTCACCACTGCCGTCCAGTACTCTGCCACCTCCGGTAACCCCAGCTCCAGTGCCAAATAAACCAAGCACCCGACGTCCCTGAGCAAGCTGGATCCACCGACCCCATGCCCAGTCGCAGACAGTGCCCCTACAGTCTGCTCGATATGCGTGATGTTTGCATTTGTGGGCTCGCAGATTGCGCGCAGGGACTGGATGCTGCTTGTCTGCTGCGCTAGCATTGCGCTCGCGGCGATCTTACCTAACTCTGACGACCAGGCGTCCATGGTGACGATGCGGTCCTCGGGAACCCATGCATACAGACCTTTCAGCGCGGTTAGTGCCTCGGGCGACATATCCTCGGAAAAGATGTGGCCGATGATTATTCGGACTGGATAGAGAAGGTCGCGGATCGCCGTCCCTGGGACCAGAAACTCGGGGTTGGAAAGAACTTCGAAAGAGGCGGATGGGGAGGCGGTCTTTTTGAGCTGTGCGGTTGTAAGCTCTTCATATTATCGATTGAATTGAATTGGCCACGCACCATTTTCTTGATTCGAGAGACAATTCCGCTTGGCCCTGTGCCCCGGTGGACGATGATCTTGTGTCCGGTTGAGACTTGGGCGATGGCCCGGATGGCAGTTTTCAGGATTGTCAGGTCGAGGCCGGGGGTCTCGTCGTCGGATGACTGAAAATTAGTATAAATCTCTGTGCTGATTGAAGGCGGGAAAAGCTTACGTTGTCCAGAGTATCCACGCAGAGAAAGATGATATCCGATGCCGCTATTCCAGCATGGATGTTGGTTGAGAAAGTGATGTTTCGCAGTTTCCGTATTCGCGGTTGACACATGACAGGTTCACGCATTTCAGCCTGTTGATCAACTTGCTTCTTTGGTCTTTCAGACGCTACGGCGTGGTCCTCAAAGACAAGCTCCTCCAGACCAGGTTCACAGACAGGCAAGCGATCCGAATTCCACGCCATGATAAGACGCGGATTGTCATCAACAACATGGAATTGGACATGTGTATTCTGCGACGCGAGAACAATCGCCGTCAAGGCTCCTATGTTATGTCAGGCACGGCACTGCGTGGTTTCTAGAGGCAACTAACCGACAGGTCCAGCACCGATGATACAGGCACTGCGAATGGATTCAATCTTTCCCTCGCGCACCGAAGACTGTCCATCTCCGACACTCTCGGAATATGTATGGCCTCCGACAATTACTCTAGGACTTTCTCTGGCGGCGATTGCCCTGTATCGACGACGGGAAATCAGCAACGTGATGCCAGCCAACAGCACCAGCAGCGGAAGGAAGGGCATCGTGATCCAGATGTTGGGATTGACAAGAACATTGCCTAGTCTTCATCGTCTCCTCGTGATAACTACACAAAAAGGCGCAGATGCAAGAGAGACACGTTCCAACGGCGAACTGGTGACCCTTGCTGGGTTGTCAAAAGAGCGGTCTGTCGTCAGCCACTATTGCCGAACATTGCATGAATGGGTCCCGTGCAGCTATTTTTGAACAAACAGCATGATCCTTTGCCTAATGCAACTGTATAATTGGATGGCTCGAGGTTGGTCGTCCACGTTATGTCGTCTACGTGTCTCTGTCGGCTGGCGAACAACCGGTTTGAATGGCTTATCTACAGGCGCACTCGATATTAAGAGCATACGGGATTAGCTTGGCTTCTATGATTACAATTCGGGATTTGACATAATAATCCTTGACTTCTCAAAAATCGACCCAAACTGAGGATTACGTGAATTCTTCGCTTAGACGCTGGAAGAATGTATCACCAGCGCGCCAAGGATATCGCCAAGGATATCGTCAAATCTCCAGCATTGCAATTTGTGCCACAAATCAATGATTCGTCTACACCCAATGGCGATCGTTCTAAGCATGCAAACCTGCGCCGAGGCTAAGCCACAGGACAAGTCAAGCCTCAGTGCGTGGTCGAAATACACCTAGAACGCCGGTGGACTTGCTTAGTGCTTACCCCCCCTCCTTGATTCAATTATCCCAACGGGACTTCAATTGCCCTCTCAATCAAAGTTTACTGCCCACTGCTACGGCAAGTACACCACTATCTAAAAGAGAGGATAAAATGACAGTTAACAAACTCCCCCGCATCGCCTGCTTCCACGGCGGGGGCTCAACAGCCGCCATCTACCAGGTCCAATGCGAACAGCTCGCTCATCTCCTCAAGAACGACTTCCAGCTCGTCTTCTTCGAGGGCCCTTTCGAGCGCAGCGCGGGACCAGGCGTTCTGCCCGTCTTCGCGGACTACGCGCCATTCAAGTCGTGGTTTACGCAGGATGAGCGCGGGGAGCGGGCCGATGGGAGCGGCTACGACGCGTCCGGCAACGATGGGGTCGAGCGCGTGTGGAGGTTGATGGAGGACGAGGGCCCGGGTGGGGAGTGGGTGGGCGCGATGGGATTCAGTCAGGGTTCGCGTGTGGCAGGGGGGTTATTGCTGGATCAGCAGCGGCGGGCTGCGTTGGGAGTTCCGAAGAAGACGCATATCGAGCTGCTCTTCGGAGTGCTGTGTAACGGAGCAGGGGCCCCGATGGAGTCGGATGCGGCTGAGTGTATGGTTCCCTTGCTTTTGATGCTTTTCAGTGCTTACCGAGTTAGATATGACGAAGCCGGATGAATCTCCTAGCCGGATCAGCCTGCCGACGTTGCATGTCCATGGGCTTAGAGATCCGTTCCTGATGCTGGGTAAGCAGCAGTTGCAAAACTGTTATGATCCGAAAACGGCGACGCTCTACGAGGTGGACTATCATCATGCTATGCCGTGGGCGAGACACGAAGCCAGGCAGCTGGCTGATCACATCCGAACAATCTACAAGAACAGTTCGAAGCAATGATATTGACGGCTCACGGTCACTACGAATTAGACGGTCATGGGGAGGAATAGACTGATACAACGGACTGATAGATTTGTTTCTAAATATGTGTCTAGGTTTTTGTCCTGTCTTAGCTGCTACATCCTACGAGTCTGGCTGCAGTACTGCTATTGAATCATATTCTATTGAACGCCTGACGTTGGTGTCGACGAAATCTAGTACGTCCGTAACCATTTCCATTTATGTCGGGGGAGCATAAGATAAAATCATTTCATTCATGACATCGTACGAACCATTCCAGCGAAGTCTCAAAGAAGAAAGCGGCAACAATCAGGCAGGTGTAAAGGCAATCACAACCGCCAGGGCATGTCAATGAAGAGCATCCGGATCAATAACTTTAAGCAGACAGGAGAGACACCACCTTGGTCCAAATCGAATCAAAGGCCTGGTAAGTATTTAAATTGCTGAGGTAGGTCTGGCTGGAGATGGCACGCAGCTGAGAGAGCAAGGTCGAAAGATTCACGGTGTCAGGAACATCGTAGACCATGGATGCAAAGCGACTGGTGTCCTGGCCCTTGATTCCCTGGAACTGATCCGATGAAAGGGCGCGCACAAACTCGCTGTACGGTGACTCGAAGATGACTGTAGCATCGGGAATGCTGAGGTAGGCGGTATCCGGAACAGTTCCTGGATTCGTGACGACCTATCTAGCGGTTAGCATGTCGGACTCAGAGCTGTCGGCAGCCGTCTTACATGGTTATTCGGACCCAGTCCTTTGCTTCCTCGGATGAACGTGGCCAGTTGCTTGTAATAGGTGACTGCGGCGGCATCATACTCCGAGGGTGCCTCGTCCAGGAAGATGCCGTGCACCGCAAACGAGGAGTTTCCGCTGGCAGACGGCCATCCGGCATAGGTGTTGATTTCCTGTTTCACCTCCGCGATATCGCGGGTTCCCTTGCCAGTACGGACATATCCAATCACCAACGCGTTGCTGTAGGCTGTGAGTCTGGGGACTGCGGCCAGGAAGTTCTCGTCCGCCAGCGGGGTAGAGCCGGGACCGTTGTCAGGATTGATGATTATGGTGAACTGGACGTCGGGATTGGAGTTAATCCTATTGAACAGACAGGTTAGAGTTTGGCTGTGACGTGAGGAATTGAAAGAACGTACAATTCTTCCATAGGTGACCAGGCTCCCTCGGCTGGGTACAAGTACCAGGGGATCATGATGTTTCCTTTCGACGCGCTGGTTCCAGAGGCGGCCGTTGCAGAAGCAGTGGGTGTTGCAGTAGGAATGCTAATTGAGGCAGGCTCGGTAAATGCTGAAGCATAAGCGCTTGTGCTATAGGCAGCCCCAGCACTGTAGGTGCTTTCACTATCCTGGCTCACGGAAGTGTGAGAATGCCGCCAGCCTCTATCAGCCGAGTGCTTCTGATCCTCATGGGGACGATAGGATGGGATGCATGCGCTGTGTCCTTGCTGAACAAGGGTCATGCATCCCATTAAGCCCACCAAAACACGAGAAAAGTTCACCTGGAACATGATGATTGAAGAGAAGTAAAGGAATGACTGAAGCTAGTACAAAGGAGTGACTGAGAATTAAAAAAGGGAGGACGCTTGCCAGAAGCTGGTGAGTTGAATCCTTCATCATTCACCCGGGTTGGCAGCCTCCATATATACTCCTTGAATCCATAGATTCGAGGCCTTTGAGGATCTGGATCTGAAAGCCAATTCTAGATCAAAGGAGCAGTGGACCATCAACGGCTGCCCTGGATTGGGCCGAACGTCAGCGCTAACATCGGGCAATTTCTGGAGCTGAAACAAAATCTCCGCCACGGCGCTTTTCTGATCACTTCATTTGCATCTCTATAGAAATAATGCGGACTCGCTTGTCTACTTTTTGACCTATACAAGACAAAGAAATCCAAAGGACCGACATCCTAGTCCAGAGTCCCTAATCAGAATCCATGACTGCATCCTGCTCCCATTCTTTGTGACGCCTGCATTCAGTTGATGTATCATACTACTGTCCTGCAGGACATCCGTCAGCTCTTCCGGTACAACTGTGACTGACTCCTTAATCTTATTATTGCAAGTCTGTGGCTAGAGGATCCTTGCACTACTTATGAAAGTTGGTGTCCCTCGCCCCATTCAAGGACAATATAAGCGCCTTGACGGAGTAGGCACATGTCTGAACCCTGAAACTTCCCGAAGACGTAATGTGAAAGCTGCATTCCCCTCCTTGTTACTATAGTTGATACATCATGCGCCAACAGACGTCAAGTAAAGCCAGGGAGTCCACGAAGCGGTAAGCATATATGCAGAAGCGTTTGGCCATCACATCCAAGTCACTTGCATCAGCCTCATGCTTTAGCCTGGGAACTTTATCGATTTTGATGAATTTCAGCAGAAAGATCGTGTAACCTGTCTCGAAGACGGTGTGCGCTAGGCACTGGAGCGACTATCATTCGTTAAGTGGGATTAAGGTGACGGTGCGAATGGTGTAGGGTATAATATTCTATATTTCGTTACTAATCAATAGAGGTGAATCTGACACTATTTAAGGGCCCAGTCTAGCCCCACTACTCGTTATCCAGAGCTATGCTGATCAATGCAGTGCGGGAGGAGCAGCAATAGCTCGCCTTGGTATCATAAAATCGAGGGCCCCAGTGCAAGACAAGTCTCCAGGGTTATATTGTGGCCTATAAACAGAACAGGCTATACCACCTCAGCATGCACAGGAGTATCCGCAGGCTTCTCAGCCTCGATCACACTCTGCTGGCGATGTTTCTCAATCTCCTCGCCAAACTTATCATGAACCTTGTGCGACTGCCATGCCTTGACATTCGAATCAAACATCATATCAATCTCTTCAAGGGACCGCCGCGCTGTCTCGGGGTACATGAAGAACACATGGAAGGTCATGACCGTGCAGAAAACGCCGAAGATGATGTACGTCTTCCATTTGATGTTGGTGAAGGCGGGAGCAACGAAATAGGCCAGCGCAAAGTTGAAGATCCAGTTGCCGGCCGCCGAGAGGCCGACGCCCTTGGCTCGGTATTTGAGCGGGAAGACTTCGGAGGCATAGATCCAGGCGGCAGGGGCCTGCTTCGTCAGTATGATTCAGTCTCAGAAAAAGAGAGGAAACTCACCCAGGTCAGACCATACACGCCAACAAAGATATAGGAGCAGGCAATGACGCCCTTTCCGGGTGCGCCCTTGATCTGCCAGCGTAGGTTCTTGTTGCCATCGATCTCATCGACTGGGTTGCCGTAGGAGGCCATGATACCGGCAATGGCATAATGTAGTGCCATGCAGATGATAGAGCCGGAGAGGAGAAGCAGTCGGCGGCCGATACGGTCAATGTATGGCAGAATGGCGCCGGTGGTGACGAGGAAGATGACATACTGGATGGCCGACGAGTAGAGGACGGTGTCACCGGGCTAGATTCATGTCAGCCAATTGCTCCCCTAT